TGCACTCCTACCAGCAGTGGAGAAGGGTTCCTTGTTCCCCACAGCCCCTCCAACATTTGTTATTGGTTGATTTCTTGATAACAGCCATTTTTTCAGGGGTGAGATGGAATCTCAGTGCTGCTTTAATTTGCATGTGTCAAATGACCAACGATGTTGAGCATTTTTTCATATATTTATTTGCCATCAAAATAAAATTTTAAAGTTGGCTGGGGATAGAGTTCAGTGGTATAGCATTAGTCTGACATGCACAAGGCCTTGGGTTTAAACAGCAGAGAGAGAGAGAGAGAGAGGGAGAGACAGGCATCGGAAACTAATTGGAGGTCAGAGAGCAAAGTGGGTTCTAACGGTAGTTATCTGTGGAAGATGGAAATAGAGATAATTCTTATTTGTCTTCCCATCATTTGTTATTCTTTCTTTCAAACTAATGCAATAAACAGGTACTTTAGTTGGTGTTACAGGTTATATCTACATGTCCCCCAAGAGCCTCAAGCACTCCTGGCAGGGCTTTGGGAAAGTGATTTTTTTTTTTGTTGTTTTTCATCCGGTACCAGGAATCGAACTCATGACCTTGTGCTTGCCAGGCAGGTGCTTTGCCGCTGAGCTAAATCCCCAGCCCCTGGGAAAGCGATTGGATTTGGGGGCTTACAGCTGCCTGGTGCTGGGATCTGCTCAGAAGAGACGTCTCGGGTCGTGGCCTGGAAAGGTTTCTCTCCCTCCCCAGCTCCCCCCTGCATTCCCTCCCGCCCGTCCTGCCTCAGAGCCAGCTGACTCTGGCCTGAGCTGTGAGCCACCATGAACTGCCCCTCCTTTTAGCTGCAGGTGTCAGCTACGGTGTCTCAGCATGAGAAAGGGTTGACAAAATTTAATACAAGTTACAGAGCTGAACACACTAAGTGTGGCACACTCATAGGTGCTCACACGTGTCCACCCTCCTTCTGCCCCGCCCAACCCAAAGCAACGCAACACTCTTTTATCATTGCTCTGAGTCCCCAAAAAGGCCCTGCTGCCCACTGCACCCATTCAGAATTTCCTTAGAGGTCGGCGGTCTCTAGAACTGTAGACTCTTCCCCTGTGAGACCACAGGGCAGCCCTGCAGAACCCCCGCTGCCTCCCTGGCTCCTGGGGAGCCCACAGGGGTGGGAAGGCAGCACCCCACACAGCCAGAGGGAAGGATGGGCGGGGACTTGAGACCCAGAAGCACTTCTGTGAGCATGTGAGCAGCCAAGGAGCACCTCTGCCATCACCGGTGCAGACACCCTGCTCAAAAGCGAGGGCGGCCACAAGCCAGGGCTCTCATGGCCCCTGGAGCCCGTGAGCCCAGGGCACAGAAGTGTCTGTGTGTGACACAGCTAATCACCAGACTCACTTCTAAAATGCCAGCTAGTGAGAGGCGGGAGTGCCCAGCTATCCTCACTCATCCACAAATGTGACTTAGCAGAGACAGAAGCCAACGCAACTCTCTAAAACGGGCGGGGAAACAGCAAAACAAGTCCGAGGTCCCAAACGACAAGCAGTTTATTGAAAATGCCACAGAGGTCAGGCTGCAACTAGGTGTAGTAATGCGATCACAAGTGTGAGGGTGACCCATGATAATGAGTTAGTGACTGCATGGTGTAGGGTTAGCAGACGGAATAGGTATGAGACACAGCAACAGAGAAAGAAGTTTTATGGGGCGGAGGTGGCGGGTGAGAATACAGACCGTGCCCAGGGGCAAGGGGGCTGGGCTTATATAGAGGCAGAGGGCAGGACCGTTAAGAGTGGCGTGAAAATTTGGGGCAAGGGGATGACTTTGGCTTTGTTTGAGTGGGCAGGACATTTTCTGGATGGGCTGGAATTTTTGGATTAGGTTAGAGCAGGATGCCTGTCAGGGGGCCCATTACATTAGAGCAGGATGTCTGCTTGCGGGGGGTGGCGGTGGCTTTTGTAGTTTCTCCATGGGGGTTGGGACTGAAATGGACTCTAATAGGCAGCACGAAAACTTGGAGCTGAGCAGGCCGGTAGATAACCCTTCTGAGCTGCATTCACAGAATGAATGAAACGTGGAGTGACCCATCTTTTTCCCGAAGGGCATACGGTTAGCAGATGCCTGAGAGGACGTCAGCACACCGCTGGCATCTTTTCGAGCATCCGCTTCATGTTCGCCTCCACCACTATACCTTGTCCTCAGGATGGAGGGAGGAATGTACTCCCCCTTGAAAAATCTGGAGTTACGTTAGGATAAAGAAACTATCCAGTTATCAAGAAGGACTGGTCAGGACTGGAAAACGTTCACCTGTCCCTCTCCTGTTTAAACCCTTTGTAAAGTAAATACAGAAGTCCATCACAGACCTTGTTAAGGTGTGGCAATCAATGCATCTATCCTACAGCAGTAAAGGTGAACCTTTTAGAGATGAGGGCCTGAAACCCACTTATTTATTGCCAAGTACCCACACTGCAGGTAAACCTGAATGCTCAGGCGTGATCCTGGGATACCCTGACTCGTGCGCTGACAGAGAGAGCCCTGTGTGCCTGCTGCAACACGAGTGCCACAGGTTCGCCATCACTGCCGTACAGTGTCCTTATCTTCGGCCACCGTGCACTTGGTCTGTGAACGACATGCTCAGCTACCAGCAAACTGAGCTACTACTCGCAAGGGCTGACAACGTTCCACCAATGAGGAAACTGAGGCTTAGAGAGGGAGGAAAAGTGCCTAAGGTGATGCAGCTTGCCGGAGGACAGCAGGACGCAAGCTCCTTGGATGAGCCTGAAACAAGGGAGAAGCCTCAAGGCACAGCTGGGCAGTGCGCACGGGGGCAGTGCGCAAAGGCACGTTTCAGCTCTCTCATCAGACAGACCGCTCCATCTCTTGCCCACCTGCCCCCAGGACGGCTGAGTAGTTAGAGTGGGACCACACGTACAGAGAGGCCGAGAAACAGGAAACCATTTTAGAGACATGTGGTAGGTTGACAACTGGTGTTCAACTTGTAACACAAAGGTGAACTGAACCAGCGTGGTGCTGGGTGTGGGGGCCCACCTGAGGATCGTTGCCGGCAGCGTAAGAGGCAGAATTGGAGGGGAAGAAGTTCAGAGGCTGTTGGGGAGGCCATTGGGAGCTGCTGGTTTCCCTGGAGGATCTTGTCATGCTGGCTTCCCTGATGAACTCCGCTATTCGCTTCGTCAAAGGAGCTCGGGACATTACTATCGCTGAGGATGGCTACGGTTCACTTTGGGGGAGCTCTGGTCCTCACTTTAAGCATCACTTCCTGGCTCCGGAGGGGAAGATGGTGCACGGCAAGGTCTCCAGGAGAAGCTTGTCACCTTGGCTTTCCTGACGGGAACTTGGCTTTCCTCATCACTGGAGCTGCTCAAGACCTCACTGTTTCTGAGGATGGCTGTGGTACCTTTCGGGGGAGCTCTGGTTCTTACTTTGGGTGTCACTTCCTGGCTCCAACACAGATCCCTCAGCCTGCTAGCACAAATCCTTCATCCTGCTGGTTCAGACTTTTTCTAGATTCCACCACTGACCTTTGGGCCTTCCCAGAGCAGATCTGTGAAACAGGCCTGCATGAGGCATTGTCATGGGCTCTAGGTCTTCAGCTGGACTCATGCAGGACATTGTCATGGGATCCACGCCCTCAGCTGGATTCTTTGGTACTTAGTGTGTGGACAGATTTCCTGCACTCTCTTTGTGTATGATTCTTTGGGTGACTATTATAAATAATCTTATGAAATATGTGTCCTGTATTGTACTGTTCCCCTTGCAAAACCCCAAAGTACAATAAGACACCATGTGCTATCAAAGAAAGGACAGACGTCTGAGGCCACCTCCCTCCTCATGGTGCTCCCCTTCGATCATTATGGTGTCAAAGGAAAGGCACATGCCCTCTTTTGTCCCCCAATTTAATGCTTTCAGTAAAGAGCATAGCATGTCTTTGGAAGATGGCCCTCTCGGGTACGCATGCTGGTACTTGAACTAATCTTTCCCAGGAGCTTCCGTGTCTTACGTTTAACACAAACACCCTACCTGAGCTATCTGTCTTAACCGGCATAAATAACCATTTCCCTGTTCCTATCAATTCTGTTCCAAAGAAATGACGACTGTAATTTAATACCCTTAATCTATGCAATACAAAAAGGAGAGAAAAAAAAAACACCACAACACTTTCTCATGAAAGGGACACTTTATATATAGCAATTCACTTTTTATTATCATCATTATGAATAGCAAAGTCCATAGTTCAGTTTCCAGGCAACATACAAATGATGTTTTATGTACAGGACACCTGCATGTAATGCGATGACATGGTATGGTTTGTTTTTTTTTGAACGAGTATGACTTCCCAGGCTATTAAAAGGAAGCCGCACAGTTTAAAGCTGAACAATTACAACAACGCAATCTTCAGGCAATTAAAACTCATGGGCTGTTGAAACAATGTGGAGATCTGCTAACACGGTATCTATTTTTATTTTCCTTTTGGTACGGGGAAGTGAACTCAACACCTCTGCACTGAGTCACATCTCTGGTCCTTTAAAAGTTTTTAAAATTTTGAGACAGGGCTCTTGTAAGTTATAAGATTGCCCAACCTGGCTGGAATGCTGGATCTTCCTGCTTCAGCCTCCCAGAGTGCTGGGATTACAGGTGTGCACCACTTCCCCTGGCTAATCTGGTCTTTAACTACACAACATCAAGTAGAAACTGTCTTCTCTTCCCATCTAAGGGTCATTGAAAAGAAAAGACTAAACCAACCCACCCGCTCTGAGGGCCAGTCGGCAGGTGTGAGGGGCCCACTTCAGGATGGGCAGGTCACTCGAGCATGTGCCGCAGCACCCCCGGGTCGGCCTCCACCGCCTGCAGGCCCTTGTGCAGGCTCAGGAAGGTCGCCTGCTTCCCGTAGCGCTGCCGCCAGCGCACGAAGGCCTCCACAACCTGCGACTGCACGTTGTGGGGGTGGTTGGCCTTGCAGCGGTAGATGTCCGTCTGTGACAGCCCCAGCGACAGCACCACGTGCTCCCACTCGGCGCCCAGCTTCTGGGCCAGCTGGTTGATCTGCTGGTCCGATGGGGAGCTGTTGAGCATGTGTGAGGGGATCCCGGGCACCTGGTCACCTAGGGGAAAAGAGGCACAGGTGAACGGAGCCAGCGGACACACCCGACCCGACGAGGACATGACGGGGGCAGAGGTGAGGACGGCGGCGACTGGAGACCACGACAGGTCTGCTTCTGTGCGGCGTGGTGCCGGGCCAGGCCTTCCCTGGAGTGCTCAGTACAACCAGGCTTCGGGGCTGAAGAAGCGCCCTTTACCTCCCCTCTGCCGGCGTCTAGCTTTCGTTGTGCTCTTTCATTTATTTGGGTTTCGGGTCTCTCAAAGAGACAAGAGAAGCCACACTCCCTTTACGCTTGCACGTCTGACTCACAGGAAACAGGGAGATGGCTCTCTGGCAAACGGGAAGAGGACCAAGGATGGGGGGTGGGAGGACAAGGGGGTGAAGGAGAATTGGGACGCGTTATGTACCCAAGCCAGCTCCCAGGAGGGACGGAATCACGTGCTGCAGACAAGCACCAATACAATTAAAGAAGAAGAAGTCCCTTTTAGTGGCTATGAAAACGTTCACTACAGAAAACTGGAAAATAAGAAAAACAAAAATAACTAGAAATCCTGCCAGAGAAGCCCGCTGAGCACAATCTGGCCTATTTCTCTGATATCACAACATGTGAAGATGACCCTGTGCTAACTGCTTTGTGACACGCTCCCCTCACTCCTGTCTTTTACCCGCAGCCACGCCAGCTCGCGGGGATGAGGACCAGCTGCAGGGGGGCCCCCACCATGCTCGCCTGTGGGCCTGGGAGCTTGCTTTTACTGCAGAAAGGGCTGGCTAGGGGAAAGGCTGAACCAAAAGGCTCCTCTCTCCCAGGGCTTCAGCACGACACACTCCGAAGACAGGTGCAGTTGCTAAGAGAAGCTGGAGCCAAGAGGCCTGCTGCAAACAAAGTAAACCACGGAGGCCCCGAGGTGGCAGGAAAAGAGGGTAGTGGACGGATCAGAGGCTGCCAGGGTAGAGCTGAGCGTCCAGGCTGAGCCTGCAAGAGGAACAAAAGCGCGTGCTGCAGAGGAGGACAGAGAGGCTGAACACGCACTTCCTAAACTAGATCCGGTCTGCCTGAGACCTGAGGAAACTGCATGTGCAAAGGCCCAGAGGCAGGAGAACACCAAGCTGCAGCCAGAGGCCCCAGCAGCCACGGGGGATTCTGGGAGGGCCTCCCAAGCCCCAGGACGATGACGCTGGTTATTGGTCAGGCACAGCGTCACATGACTTGGGTTGCCCACTGTACACTCACCGGCCTACTGTTTCAATGTAGCATTCAAGAAGGCAGCAGCGGGCATTCCATTAAAAGACTCGGTGTTCTCCTCTGTCTCTGCCCTGCCCATGCCCTTGGCCTCCAGGCAGTTAGCTGCCAGGACCTTAGGGACAAGTCACAAATACTCTTAAGAACTTCTTCTGCTGTGTGTCAACACTGCAAGTTTTTTATCTTTTATATTTTTTATTAACACATACTAACACATACATATCAGTGGGGCTCTGGGAGATGACACGGAGCTCACTAAGCAAATGCAGCTACCCTTTCCACATCCCTTCCCCACGCTGTGATCCCCAGTCTTGAGGAATCCCAATTCAACTTTCAGGACAACGACCTGGTAGCTTCCACGTACGAGAGAAAACTTGTGCTACTACTTGTCTTTCTGCATCGGGCTCATTTAGCTAACATAATATCCTTTAGTTCCATTTATCCTAGTGCAAATGACAGGATTTCATCCTTCTTTATGGCTGAGTAGTACTCCACTGTCTGTATACACCATATTTCTTCCATGCATTTATGTGCTGGTGAGCACTTAGGCTGACCCCATTCCTAGCTACTGTCAAAACTGCAATTTGAAAAAAAGAACTAACAATTAGAATAATGATGATACTACTAATCAGTCTTTTACATTAACAGTAATGCTCTTTTGGTTTTTATAAAATACAAGTAAGTTAAAAAACCCAAAGAACACAAAGTACAAAGAAAAAAAGCACAACATCTAACAGCCCACCATTGTGTTCATAGTTGGTGAACAGTATTTTGGACACCTCCTTATGTACATATACTGTCCAAAAGAAAGGCAGATACACACGATCTCATTTAAAATGATGATATGAGAACTCTTCCCTAATAAAAGCTATTTAATATTGTTTAAATTTAACAGTAGAAAAAGCACAAGTAAATTGAATACTATTCTTTGTTTTTTTTTGTTTTTCTCCCAGTACCAGGAATCGAACTCACGACCTTGCGCTTGCCGGGCAGGCGCTTTGCCGCTGAGCTAAATCCCCAGCCATTGAATACTATTCTGACTGGCAGTTAAATACTTCCAAATACATACCCATGATCTAACACAGAAAAATTATGAAAACCTAAGGGTTAACTAGCCATTTTCATATACTGTAAATGCTTTACAATTAACACTTCACATACCCTCTTTTTTTCCTTTTCTTCACACCACTTGATCTTTGTTACTTATATCATTTTTGCCAGTGGCCTAATGCTCCTACTTTTGTACCACTGTGCCCATCCCATTCCCCACCCCAAGCTGCTGAAGCCCACAGTACAATGGCTGACTGCTCAGCATGGTTCTGTTGTTATTACTGGTTTTAAACTCCAGCTTTTCTATTGCTGGGTCCAGTGCTTTGATTGGTGTCAACTGGTCAATTTCATCACAGACGGGTCTTCTGCAAGAAATGCTCAGGGTCACACTGTTCCCGGAGTTCTTCCACGTCAAGACTGCTGCTGCCTTCACTGGAGTAACACCTTCACATTTAGGAAAAGTTTTGTGTTATGAGTATAATTCACGATTACTTCAATAATTCCATTCCTCTTACAAGTGTGTGGACCTTACTCATATTTTCTAGAAGAGAACACCGGTGTGGTGAACTCTGATAGCAGCTCAGTGAGCTAACATTTTGTGCTCTTTGCTTTTCCTGTCCGGGCTCACAGTACCGAGGCTTTAGACCAGCGTACCTTTGCCATTGGGGATGTGTTGTTCCAGGGGTGCAGCCTGGCCTTCGACTACAGTCAGCTCTTTTTTTTCTTTTCTTTCGACTGTTTTTTTAATTAGGTTTATTGGTACATTGTAGCATCACAGGGAATTTGTACCTGTACACGACACATCTTGATTTCCCTTTTTTCCCCATTCCCTTCCCTCCCTTCAAGCCTCTTCCTGTTGTTATCTACAGAAGCTTTGTTTCCATTTCCCTTCTTTTCTGTTTTCCCTTCCTTCCTTCCCCTCCCTCCCTGGTTCCCCTTCTCATTGAACATTTTCTTCCTGCTTCACAGTGTCTATTATATATTTTGATCCTTATTTACACGTTTGGTTTCTAGAGTCAGTTCCTAATTCCCTTCTGAAAAATCTTCCTGTCTCATACCTTCGCATTCTTTTTCTGCTCCGTGTATCTGCCCATCCTCCGTGGCTCTCACTTCTCTCTTGTTATTTTAATATTCTTCTTGTGATTATCCCCTGCTTTGCCCTCGTGCCGGTCACGGGACTTTCAGCTACATCTGTCAGGCTTTTTCCCCACTCTGGTTCTAACCTGGTACTGTGCTCTTATTCTCAATTTCTTTTCTTGGTGCTTCCTTTTAAAAATTCCGTTCCACTTCACACCCATGAAATGATTACTATCAAAAATACAGAGAGGAACAAGTGTCGGTGAGAATGTGGAGAAATCTGAACTCCTGGCACTGTCAGTGGAAGTGTAAAACGGCACCCTTGCTCGCTGCGGAAACAGTACGGCAGTTTCTCAATAAATGAAAAAAGAACTAGTACACATCCAGCAATCCACTTCTGCATGAATTAAAAGCAGGGACTTAAAGAGATACCTGTATATCTCTTTCTATAGGAGCATTATTCACAGCATCCTCGAGGTAGAAGCAACCTAAGTGTCCACTGACAGATAAATGAGTAAACAAACTATGAGAAACACACACAGTGAAATATTACTCAGCCTTAAAAAGAAAAGAAATCCTAACATTCCTACCACATGGATCACCTTTGAGGACATCATGTTAAATGAGATAAGCCAGTTGCCCAAGGACAAATACTGTGCATTTCCACCTCTGCGAGGCCTCTAGAGCACCGACATTCATGAGAGAGGAAATGAAGTTGTGGTTACCAGGGGCTGCAGCAGGGAGGGATGAAGGGTCAGTGTTTAACAGGTACAGAGTTTCAGTTTTAATAACATGAATATACTTTTTTTTTTTTTTTTTTGGTTTTTCTCCGGTATCGGGAACCGAACTCACGACCTTGCGCTTGCCAGGCAGACGCTTTTGCCGCTGAGCTAAATCCCCAGCCCCTAACATGAATATACTTAACACTGCTGAACTATACATTTAAAAATGGGTGAGCTGTTAAATTTAATATTGTGCATATTTTTACCCCACTTATAAATAAGAATTAACTACAGTTCCATGGTTACTGAACTCTTTGGAGCCTAGCATCCTCGGAGGCTGGCTTTCTGGGCTTAGGTTCCCTTCTGCCAGGCTGGTGTACGTCTGTCTATGGTGGGAGCTGCGCTCCTTGTCTTCGCGCCCCAGCCAGAGGACTTCTGGGCTGTCACTGCTCAGCATCTCTGGCCAGACTTCTGCTTGAAGCCGATGGATCTGCGACACTGCCCCGCTTTGGGGACCCTCCGTCTTTCTCCCTCTGAGTTACAGATTGAAGCTGGCCGCAGCTTTCGATGCCCTTTGCTACCTGGACGACAAGAGAGGCAGGATCCCCTCCTGGGCCTGTTCTTGTGGGGGCTCCCAAACTGCCAGCTCTTCTGGAAGCCAGTTAAGGGTCTCAGGCCGACCCAGGGCCTCCTCACTCCCATAGGACCCTCTCGTAACTTGGCTCAGGCCAGGGGACTGGCTGCCATGGGCCTCCTCCTGCCTCCACTGAGGGTCTTCCCAGCCTGTGAGGTGATCTACCCACCTCAACTGCACTCCTTCTACACTGACCTGTCTGAGGATTTTGTCCCCTACCGTCTTTCCCCGGAAGTCCTTCTGAGGGGTCAGGCAGGGTTTCTTTACTCGCCTGTCAC